TGAATTACTATTATTTTTGCATATCCCTAAACATTCTTCCCCAGTTTAAGCAACTTGAGGACAGAGCTTATAGGCAATTTCAATTCCCCTACCTAGGCTAATAGTAGAAACAGAAAGCACTTAATGTGGTTTGTGAGCTAAGTAAAAGTATTGCTTACATTCTTTCATTTAATTGGCAGATTATCTAATGCCATTGCTCCCATATGTTCCTGTTCCTCTCACCCCATTTTTAAGGTGAAGAATATTGAGGCCTTGAGAATTAAATGGCTTATTCCAGGTTGTATACTTACTAAATGAAGAGGTGGGGGCCTAGGAATGTACATCAGTGGCAGTTCACTTCCTTAGTATACTAAAGGCCTTGAATTCAATCCACAGAACAGAAAACAAAATTTAAAAAAAAAGAAAACTCAGATCTGTCTGACTCCACAGCCCATATTCTTAACCAGAAGTCCTCAAAGATGCCTGTGAATGAGAATCACGAGGTATGTACTACATCAAATCCCCGAGGTGCAGTCCTCATCTCTAAACTCTCCAGTACACTTTGATGTAATAGAAGCTCTATTCTAAGTCACTAAGTGTATTTCCTCCTCAGTAAATGTCTGTTGAGGACATGGTGCCAGTGGCTCACACCTGTAATCCTAACGAATTGAGAGGCTAAGATCAGGAGGATCACAGTTCTGGATATATAGTTTGCAAGACCCTCATCTCCAGTAGAGCTGCTTTGTAGGCCTGAAGCCCTGAGTTCAAACCCCAGTCCCACCAAAAAAAAAAAAAAAAAAAAAAGTCTGTTGAGTGAGTGAATGATGCCTTCAATTCTTCCACTAATAATCTTTTCCTTCCTTGGGGCTTGCTTGAATAGTGATCCTCGTTCTAAAACGCAAACGCTCCTGAAAGGCTGTCTCTATAAATTTGCTATTGTCATTATCAAAGATGGAGTAACAGAGGAACTCAGCCTCTGTGGCTGTAGAAGGTGCCTGGCTAAGGATGGAGGAGGGTCAGAAGGGTAGGGTAAAAATCACATCTTTGATTTCACAATGCTGCCAGGGACTACCCCTGTTTTACCATGCAGCTATGAGAAGGAAACACAGTACTCACCTAAAAGCCCTTTAAATTTTATCTTAATGTTATAATACTCCCAGAGGGCTTGAGCCTTAGATGAACACGGCTTCTGCCCTTCCTCCAGATAATATGCTATGTCAGACCTTATCAATGACAAGAATTCTGGGAGGGCCACAAGCACACTCTCTCTGCGCAGTGATATCTTCAAGTGTTTCCTTTGTATCCTTGGGCACACTCGTTAGACAGGTGATGCCGCTTTTCATGGGAAGCTTCTGTAGGAACCTGACCTTAATCCACTTAAGCAAAGGCAGCACAAGTACCCTTCAAGTGTCTTCAGGTGATGAATGTAAGTAAAGTGCAGTTTATCTACAGAATGGATATTATTCAGCAATAAAAAGAAAGAAAGTATCCATAAAGCAGTAACATGGATGAATATTGAAAACATCATGTTAAAATAGAAAAGAGAGTTGTCAGAGGGAAAAATGTTATATGGTTACTCTTTATATAAAATGTCCAGAATAGGCAAGTTCATAGACAAAAAGTAGATAGTGGCTTCCTAGTGGGGGAGGGTTTAGTGAGAAGTTGCAAATGACCACCAATAAATGTGGGTTGGGGGGGGGTTGATAAAAATGCCCTGAAATTAATTATGGTGATGCTTATATAACTTGTGATTGTACAAAAACCACAGAACTGTATATTTTAAAAATGTGAATTTTACTGGATAGGAATTATTTTTTAAATCTGTTTTCTAAACAGGCAGCACAATGATACAGAATAATTATAATTAAATTAAAATCATGAGATTGCCAAGAACCCATCACCACTGGAGATTTTGGGAATTTGTTTGCCACCAGAGGGAACAATAGTCACCATAATTATGAAAGTTGCTCACCTTAAGCTGACTCTATCAGTAGCTTCCTGAATATGTACATAAGTTTTCACTCTTTCTTCAGCTTTTATGAGACTAAGTCATAGTACTTCTCAGAGTAAAAGTACATGAATTCAGGTGCACAGACTTATGTTCGTCGGAAAGAGTTATAAGTGAAAAAGGAAAATGAATGTGTTGCTTCGCACATTTTGACTGCAAGGAATTCTAGAGAGCTGGTACCAATTATCTATAATCAAAGAAAAAAATGTTGAAACCTGTGAAAATGATGTCTAGAAATATGACATGGTTCCATCAATGTTTCCATATGTAAAAGATGCTGCTTCTCCAGGGTAAGTCTCCTCTCATGTGGACCACCGAATCAGCCTAACTGAGATCCTTCTCCCAGGCTTTCCCTGTCTAATAACTCATCTTCCATACACAGACTTGCCTTCCTAAAATGCACAGTACAATCCAGGAGGAAAAAGCTTGAGCCCTGATCTCAAATTGCCTGAAATCTAAGTCTCACTGCCTACTAACTTGGTCAATTTAGGCAAGTTAATTAAGCTTTCTGTGAATGAATTTTCCCTAAATTTTGTGAGGATTATATGGGGATAGTATGTTAAACCCTTCATCCAATGACAGGCACATAGTAATCTGTCACTGTTAGCTCTTATTATTATTATACCTACTCAAATGCTGCTATTTCCTCATCTCTACATAATCGAGGCCAAACTCCCTAGTCTACCATGCGAGACACTGAAATCTGACCTCGGTCTGTCTTCTCCCAGTTTCCAGCCTCCTGACACATCAGGCAGATCTATGGCTCCGGGTTTTTACTCTTTCCTCTGCCCCTCCATGTCCATTTAGAAAAGCCCATTCTTTATTCAAGAAGTCTGTACAACTACGAAGGAACTATAAAGCAATTATGAAGCTTTTCTCAAGCTTCTTTTTCTTCTGTGTTCCAACAGCACTTTAGAAGTCTGCTAACTTTTCTATAGGTAAAGCAGCAGGACTTCCTGGAGAAATGGATAAGAGATGTAAGGAATAAAGTAGAAGAAAGGATGACGTCTGAGCTTGTATCTGTAACAACTGGGAAACCAGAGGAGAATGTGGTCCTGGGGGGACTAGCAACAACAATGCCGGTGTTAGTTTGTTAGGTTTGAGATTCCTGTCAGATATTGAAGTGGTAAGTAGCAGTGGGATGTACATTGGAGTCTGGGGTTTAGAAAACACTGAGGGCTATGGAGGTAAAGGAGGCATCATAGGTGAGGCCAACAGACATCATCTGGAGAAGCCCAGAGACAGAAACATTTAACGATCAGCCAAAGGAAGAGCAAGCTATTGGACGGGTTTGCTTGAAACTCGTCACCCACGGGGCTGAGTACTGTTTGTTTATCTTTATGCCTAATGGTGTTTGTCATACAAATGTTCAATCAGTGCCTGTTGAATTCATTTCAATACTAAAAGGGAAGAAAGGTGGCTCCTTAGAAATCTCTCAGCTCTGCATTTTAACAATTAGGCAAAATTTGAAAAAAAAATCACAAAGGCCAATCCAGCATCTAGCACAGGCGGGAATGTGTTGGACAGTTCCATGCTCACCCACCCTTACCTCCAACCCCTGCCCATCCTTATGCACTCAGGGACATACTCCAAAGGGCACAGCCACAGTGCTTGTGAGGGATGGCACATAGCCCAGGATGCCTTCACAGTCCTCAAAGCTAAATATGAGGGTCTTAAGAGAGCAGCAGCTGCTGGAACATATGGGTGATCAGTAGGAGCTCCCCTTAGTTCTGGACTGAGGCACCTCAACTCATACAACACCTGACTTTCTGAAATGCTACATGGGAAACTTACCCTAGTAGCTTATCATGATTTTCCCATCATCATTAATGGTTTAGTATTTATAGTTTTCTGACCCATTCTTTCCTAGGTAGTGTATAAAAGTTTGTAAATCAAAATACACGTCCTTTTCTTTTTCTTGCCACCATTCTCATTAGGCCTTCATAATCCATCAGCTAGACAAATTCAGTAGCCCTCTGCCCAGTCTTCCCTCATTCTGCCACCAAAATAACCAAACTCAAACACTATCCTGTTAGAGCCCCTACCTGCCAGAAGCAACAGCTCCCCGGCTACTTACTGGAAATCTCCTCCAAAATTCTAAGCTTGGAATTTAAGGTCTCTTACCATCTATCACAAGCATTCACACACACCAACCAGGTACAGGGGTAATTAATCAGACCCTATTTTCCCCATAAAATAGTCACTGTGCTTTCTCTCTGCTGTACCAGAGCACCTGCTATTTTCTCATTCCAGGATGCTTTACCTGTTTTCTCCATCTGTTAACATCTTACCTACTCCTCAAAAACTAGTGCTTTGGTGAATTCTTCAGGAAGCCTTCCTTATCCAGTCTAGGCAGAAAGAAATGTCCTTGTCTGTACTTCTGAAACAAATAATATGCATTTCTTTAAAAACGCTAATTAGACAGATGATGGTAATGATGAAGATAGATGATTGATGATAGATAGATGAATAGATAAATTTTTTATGCCTTGGAACTCTGATTTTTAAAATTTTAACATTCCGCATCTAACAAAGCATATGGAAGAAATTCTAGCAATATTAACTGACTAAGTAATTCAATCCAGCAGTCTAAACTTAATCCCTTCTTTTCTCAGTTTAATCACTGAATACCTCTATCTGCGTATATTGGATTTTCTTCAGGTTGAATGTCTGGGAATTAGGATGTCACCTATATGGTGACAACCCTGCTCTATATGGTCAGAGTATCAGTGATTGACATGGTGGAGATCAGAATAAAAGAGTAGGCAATTTCTGGCAAAAGCCATGGTGTAAAAGGCATATGCTTACAGGTGAAGGATTTTAGGCAGAGTGTTGAACCATCCAGATTAAGCTTGTGGAGAAATCACTGTAAATTCACTGCAAAGGATGGAGGAGGTAATGGGAACAGGAGAGCCTCAGAAGGAGGTGCCCACAGGCCACTTAAACTGAGTGGATCTGCTGACACTGAGCCAGGTCTTTGCCAAATAGTCATTGCTGTCTCTGCCTCTTCTCAGGGCTTCCAGGGCAGCGGTTGAAGAGACCTTACCGAGGAGCACCATGCAGTAGATGTTGAGACTTCACACTCCAGGATAAGAAACAGTAACATGGCAGTGCCTGTTTGAAAGGATTAAAAACCAACAGACTCCATTTAGAAAGGAACAATGTCCAAGAAAGGGCGAAATAAGGGCGAGAAGCCCGAGGCACTCATTGTCGCCCTGCAAGCTGCCAATGAAGACCTCAGGACCAAGCTCACAGACATTCAGATAGAGCTTCATCAGGAGAAGTCCAAGGTGAGTGAAGCCTACCTCTGGCTGTGGCACTGAGCAGCCCTGGCTGTGTCCATGTGCAGCAATCACAGCTCAGCCTACTGGACTCCAGTGCACTCCTACCAGTTGCCAGAGGCAATTCCCATCTGCATGGAGACTGTGGTGTGTGTGACAGGGTTGACTGAGAGCATATACACAGAATGTGGGATGAGGATGATCACTAGACAGATCTCTGCCTCTTCAGAAAGCCTGTTCCAGAAAGCCAGATATAAAAATTGAGACAATAAAATCCAACCGTCATTACCTCCTAACACAGCACTTAATAGTTGCACGACCTTGAACAAGTTCTGTTATTGCCCTGTGAAGAAAATTCAGAACAATCCTTCAGGAAAAATATGTCATATCATGTTACTCCAGTATTTAGTTCTCCCCAGTGCTTTCTGAGTCCCTCTCAAGGAAAAGACTTTTCCTACCACTGCAGGATTTAACCTCCAGCCCATTCTTGAGGTCGTTTCCAGCTACCTTCTCTTGATCATGCTGTTCCAGCCTCTTGCTGGATCAAGATCAATATGTCAATCACATTAAGAGCCTTTGCCCTTGTTTTTCTTCTGGTTATCTACTTTCTCCCTCCCTCACCTCCTTCCAAGGGATGCTCAGTCATCATTCATCTGACCACAGTCTCTAAAACAGATAACTTCCCCAGGGTCCAATAACTCCTCCTAGCCTATTCTTGACTTATTTCATAGTTATTTATATATTTATTTATTTATTGTTTATCCTTTCCCAATCAAGTATAGTCTCTGTGAAAATAGGGACTTAGCTCACTTCATATTCCTATTGCCTAAATAATGTCCAGAGGTTAAAGCTCAACATCTATTTGTTGAATAAATAGAAGAATTAATGGAAGGTAGTTTATTACTTATAACTTAGTTTCTGCATCATTAAAATGCTACTATTATCTCATGGAGCTAAAATGAGGTGTAAATTAGACAGGTACATAAAATACTTGTTAGGAATAAATAAGAAAATTGATAGCAAGTACCAAGACAGCTGCCTGGAATATAGTAAATACTCAAGGAATTATTCATATTATTATTCCCCCTAATATTCTTTGGATTTGACTCAGTTGTTAACTAAATTTAGGAAAATATTTTTCCTCAGAGTCTCATCAGTGTACTGGATTGCTAATGCATATCTCACCAGGACAGTGTAAGTACTGAGTAGCTTATGGCTAGGAAAGCATTTTGAAATATCCAACATGCATACACATATTTTGTTCCAGATAAGCTAGAGACAACCAAGTCAGCATTAAAGTTGCCTCATTTAGATAACTTTTGGCATAGTAAAAAAAATATTCTGATCAGCAAGCAGCAAGATACAAACCAACAAATATCCTTACTCCAGTTTGTCTGCCTCTTTTTCTTTGACATCACTATTAAAATTTAATTTGTGATTTATCCCCAAAATCTACTTGTCTTCATTTTGACAATAATAAGTAGGATCTGGACCAGCCAAAGCCCATTGCCTCCTGGTTCAGCTCAGCCTTGATCTTGGACAAATAAGCCCCAATGCAAAGTTAACGAAGAAATTCTTACTTTCCATAAACCAAAAGGAAACATGATCTCATTTTTAAAAAGTATTAGTTTGAGAAGCAGAAGTCCTAAGTGTTGCTTGTCTTTCTCTCTCCTTGGAGACAAATATGAGTGTCTCTATGTCTCTATCTGTAATCTATATGACTGAATCTATTTCTCCACACCTGTGTGCAGCATCGCTGTGCAGAGAATAACCTAGAGGAACTTATCAAAAGGTGAGACTGCTGAGCTCACAGACCAAGGATGCCAATAAAGTAATCAGGTGATGACCAGGCAATTCAGGTGGAAGGAGTTCCAGAGTGGTGGTGACAAACACTCCAGAGTAAGATGCCTTCCAGGTCTTACTTTTGAACATCTCATTGATTTTAGCTTTTCCTGGGGCAATGAAACATTTGACGGGAGGCATATTTCTTTAATTTTAGTGAAGACAGGATGACAAATAATACTCACAGGAAGATGCCTGTCGGTCTGGAAACTGGTAAGCATAAGCCACCACTGTGTGACAGAGAACAAACTCATGAGATTCCAAAGCAGAGGCCCCAATGACCTGACTGCTGCCAACATTCCACCATTCAAGCCTTTTAAAATGGGTAACTCCCGAGCCTCTCCGAGGCTGCTTGTCTCTCTAGGGCCTGGCACTGCCTTCTAAGCCTGCAGGCAGGTGTAATATCCTTGCCCTCTGACGAGGCCCTGGCAGCCGGCCTCTTGAATACTAACACAGCCTCGCCCTTCCCAATCCTGGCTGCCCCTGCCCCTCTCCCTTTCTGTGCTGTTAATTACAGTAGCACAGGACCTGGAGCAAAGCCTCCCTCCCTGTCAGCAGCCATCCCCGAAGAGCAAAGGCATCCCAGAGGACAAACAAGTCATAAAGCAGTTTCGTTATAAATAAATACAATTGTGTTTTCAGAGGCCAGCCTTTAAGAGAGAAAATATGATCACTGCCAAGATGTAAATTTACACTCTTCGTTGGGCTCCAAGACTCTGATGGCAAGATAACAGTTCGACTACTGGGAATGGACTAAAGAGTGGAGACCTTTAGGGCAACAGCCCATTACTCATTTTTCCAGTCAGACAAATAATCCCATTGACATTTACAGAACATCCCATGTGCAGAGAACAGAGTCATAAGCTATATGGTTGACAATATAAATGGTGACTACTTACTGAATGTGTACTACCCATCACACACTCTAACAGGTGTGTGACCCTGAGCAGGTTTTGAAGCCCCTTTAATGTTTCCTGTCCTTTGTCTGTCAAATGGGACAAGAGTAACATCTACTTCATAAGGGAGCTGAATTTCTGAGCACTTAGTTTATGTCAAGTCCGTTAAGTGTGGAATTGGGGTCACCTCAGTTGACGCTCCATACCATCCTCTAAGGTGGGCACTGTTGCTATTTCCAGTTTACAGACAAGAAAACTGCCTGGCATATAGAAAGTGCTAAAAACCACTTGTCTAATGACTTGTGACTCTTTTTCAAAACTTCCCTGGAAACCCTAGGATTTCAGTTCCGTTACAGAAGTTATTTAGGTGGGAAGTCTCAGGTTTGGGTGAAGAAAGAATTTCTACCTAGGTGTATCGTTTCCTTGAACCAGCACTCTGAGCCATTAAACTATGATATTTTTCTCATCTGCCTTTTTTGTGGACACTGTGAGGCCACACAATGGGTATGAACACACCAGGGATTGCTGTGAGATGAGAAATTCATCCTTCAGAGTCTCCAGAGTTTGTGCTTTTCCTCAGAGATTGACAATAGATGCAGTGAGGCCACAGTGACAGAAGGGATAAAGGGAAGTGATCCTAGAACAGGGTTTCCAGGATAGGAGCTGCAGGTTGCAGGCTTAGGTGTCAGAGGCTGGGAGGAATCAGCTCCAGATTGGAGCTGCCAGCATTGGAACAGCCCTCAGACTACAAAGTACTTTTACACCCAGCCTTATAAAAATCGCAGCAAGCCTGGGACATAGGCAAGGTGTGATTATTATTCTGATTGCACTAAGAAAGAAAATGGCGCTTAGACTGCTTAACTCATTTGCTCCCAGTGACCACAAGTGGAGGAGCCAAAATAGGGATTCTCTTCTTCTCTAAGATGGTGGAGATGAAGGCAATACTGATGCCTGACTCTGCTACCAGTGGCCCCCAGGGCTCTCGCAGAAAATCAGCTAACTTCTTCTGTTGAGGTTTCAGAGGCTCTGGGCTTGGGCCCCAAGAGCTGAAAGCAAGAACTTTTAAAAATCCTTTGTGTAACTCCAGGTTGTACAAGGCTTCCCTTATGAGCAACTCTTGTGCAGTGGCAACTTTTCCTTCCTCCACCTCTCCTGCATGAAAGTTCCTTGGCACCCATAAAAATCCCTGCCATTTTAGTGTGGGTTTGCTTTCCAGGAACATCTAATGCAGATAATCCGAGCCAGAGCTTCTGTTAGCTTGTCTTACCTCGATAACCTCTCAACCTTTCCTCACCTTTGACTTGTCTCCGGTTTTAATCATAGACTTCTAAGCTCATATTAGAGCTCAAATCTTCACCATCCTTATCTTGGCAGAATTTACACTGACATTTTCAAGGAATTAGAATTAGGACAGAGGATAAAAATACAGTGTGAGGACTACGTAAGGAAGCCATGAATTCTCTTCCCTCTGTCGAGTGTAACCTTTCACCAGCTGGATTAAATTGTCCTAATGATCATCTCTTTTCTATAGGACATTTAGAATAGAAGATATTTCTACTCTAGAAATATCTCCTCCTTGCCTGCCTCAGCCCACACCCACTGGTTATACCCACACATATTCCAGGTATCTTCCAATTAAGAGTCTATGCCACCAATACCAGGGAAACCCAGTTTTACCTTTGAATGTCTCTTTCTTTCTGGAAAGTATTTGTTACAGTCTTAATGTAATCTAGTAATGTTAGTCTTCTCATGTATTATAGGTACTTACATTTATGCTGGTGGAGGTATCAATATAACATTACATAAATGTTACTGTACACAATAATGTTTATCAAAATTAACATTGTATTATGTGTCCTACACATGCGCCAGGATTTCCAAAGGGATTTTTGTCCTTGTCTGAGTTGATCCTCACCACAGCCATAGGAGAATTATTATTACCAACTCCAATAAGAAACTGAGGCTGACAGAGGTGACGGTTTCAGAGTAAACAGGGAGACCTGGGCTCTGACCCACAATTAGCCCCTGGCCACCTTCCACTTTAATCAGCCTTCTTTACCTTGTGCTTATATATAGTGTCTTCCTCACTTTTTTTCTATCTGAAACTGTGATGAACAAATACTACCTACATCACAGAGCTATCCAGGAGATTAAATGAACTGGCAAGTAAAAAGTCTATTTAGAAAGGAGCCGTCTCTAAATGTTAGCTATTATATGACTGAGCAGAATTTATTCTGCATAAAACATCTCTATTAATCAAAATAATTTCTTTCTTCTAAATAATTTGTTCCATTTCAAAATATCTTCATGTTTTTATTTCTACACAAGAATAGTTCTTACGTTTTGTGTATTCATCTCAAGATTTATTTTAAGCTATTTAAATAAATTTCCTTAGTTATTTAAATATATTTCCAATCTGTACTGCAAATAATTTTCAGAACATTATATTACTGCATTTTTTATGGTACTGGGGTTTGAATGCATGGCTTCACACTTGCTAAGCAGGAACTCTGCCACTTGAGCCACACCTCCAACCCGTTTTGCTCTGGTTATTCTGGAGATAGAGTCTGGCTTTTTGCCCAAGCCAGCCTGTTCTGCGATCCTTCTATTTTATGCTTCCCACCATTGCTAGGGTGACAGGCACGTGCCACTATGCCCAGCTCTTTTCCTGTTGACATGGGGTCTCATCAACCTTTTTTTTTAAAACCTGAGTTTGTCTGGAACCATGATCCTCCCAGTCTTAGCCTCCAGAATAGCTTGAGATGACAGGTGTGTGCCACCATGCCTGGCTTTTGGTTGAGATGGGATCTCATAAACTTTTTGCCTGGGCTGGCCTCAAACTGTGATTCTCCCAGTCTCACCCTTTCAAGTAGCTAGCATAAGACATACTAAGTTATTACAATTATTTTATTGCTTCTTTTCCCCAAATTTTTAGTCACAGCCTTTGGCTCTTCTTCACAATGAAATACTTCTCTCAAGTCAGATCTAGAAATCCTGCAGAAAAAGTTACACCAGTTTCCATGCCAATTAAAACAAGTAGACATAACAAATATTAAATACTACTTAGTTCCCTTGAATTTTCTTTGTTTTGTGGATTACCTTAAATGATGCTTAAGAAGACTGGTATTTGTTTGTATTTGTTTTTGTCTTCAGATTGAATTTTCACTTTTTTCCCTTTTTGTTCACCTCTCCTCTTGTCTATGCACACAAAAGATTATTGTTTATAATTCGAGAGAAATGACAGAATCACAGGGAAATACAATCCTATGCACCTGCAGAAAATTTGACACAAATAATTTTAGATGGAGTGTCACCTGTTATATCTAATAACAATTTTATCTTGCATGACACAGTGCTTTGGAATCCAAGTTATTTCCCATACATTCTCTAATTTGAACCTAGAAATAACTGTAACAGACATTTTTAAGCAAGTTTCATAAAGATAGTAGATAGTGAAATAGAAATACAACTACGTAATTTCTTACCCTTCGTCCATTTTTCATTGTTCTAAGAAGAATTGCTCAAATTTCCCTTAGTGACTTGTTATCCAACAGCCTTTGTGGGCATGACACTGTCACAAATGCCTAAGGTAAATATATCTTGCTGAAATTGAAGAGGACTATGTTCCTATCACTTAAGATAAAGTTTACTCTCATAATTTCTTATATGAAAGATATTGAGTTTTAAAATTAACAAAAAAATTACTTATAATGACAATCAGCAAAGTTTACCTGTTAAGGGAAAGATAGTAAATATTTCAATCTTCATGGGCTAGACAACCTCTGTTATACTACTCAATCCCATTGTAGTATGAAAGTTGCCTTAAGCAATAGATAAATGATTGGGTATTACCTTGTTCCAGTGAAACTTTATTCATAAAAGCAGAGGCAGGATGGACCTCTGGTCTGGGATGTATCCTCTTACATTCACTTTAGAAAAATGGAGAATAAGATCTTGATTGTCCTTACTGAAGCACTGAAAGAAACATCAAGCAGATAAGTAGACATTCTTACATTAGGAGTTTTTCTGTTTTGCTTTTTGCTTTATAAGGAAGGGATGACCAAGGGGCAACTGTAGTAACTGTAGAAGCCTGGATTCTCTAAACTGTATAACTGCATATATTATTATTTCCTCTGGTTAGTTTGCCATCCATGGAAACATATTGTCATATATCCTTTAACTCCACACATGCTTTCTGCCCCTTATTATGTGGTATACTGGGAACCAATGGGTATACAGTGGTGACCTTGAGTGAGTCCCTAAGCTGAGGTAGGGATAGGAAAGGAGGTGGTACGGATAGATAGCCTACAAAACACCATAAGGTAAAGAAAAATGGAAAGGGGCAGTAAGGAGATGGTACTAAAGTACACTGAGAAGCCAAAGGCAGGAAAAATGAGATTTTTTCCTGGTCAGTTGGGGTTGCATGACAGGAGAAGCTGTCATCTGTCTGGGCCGGGAAGAATGAAAGGATCCCGAAAATGTAAGCATATAGGTACAAAGATGTAGCACAGTGCAGAAGAGAGCATAATGTCCTGTGCATGGAACATGGTGCAGGTGAGGAGAGGGAGAGAGGAAACAAGAGCTAAGTCCACCTAAAACTTCATGAAAGCCTGAATTATGAATGTGAGGTGTTAGGATTGTTTTTCTCTATAGCATAACGAACCCTGGACAGTTTTTGAGTGGGCACATAAATAAGGCCAGAACTTAGCTTTGTAAGAGAATGTCACCAGCAATTTAGAGACTGTTGAGTTCACAAAACGAAACTCCAAGAACTTTAGAACAACCTTGATAGAGTTATGTTACCTGCAAATACATGCCATGTATGTGGTTTTTAAATTTCTTCTAGCTATAATTTTAAAAAGTAAAAAGAAACGCAATTAGTTTCCATAATACAGCTTATTTAATACAACTTATCCAAAATATTACAAATTCAGCATGTGATCAGCATAAAAATGATTAACAAGAAACTTTATTTCTTTTATCTCACTAATAAGTCTTCAGATTCCAGAGTTTTATTTAATATTGAGGACAATTTCAATTCAAACTTGTACCACACAGTTTAAAGCATGTGAGAGAACAGCATCCAGGAACGGATCTCGGGCCTATACTGGACAAAAACCAAAGGATGGTTGTTTGAATATGCTTGTGCTCGGGGCTCTTTTAGAATAAACGAGAATAGTTTTTTATGAGAATAGCTGCTATGCCTTGAAAAATAAAATATTTAGAAAATGCAGACCTAGGAAATACTGACATAACTAAAGGTAGGTAAATTGTTGAGGTAAGTAAAATCTCAGGCACATATACATTGTATATCTATTATTATATATTGTATAATATATAGTATAATGATAATTACAATGATTTCAAGAGAGATTTTGAATCTTAAAACTTTTGTAAAACCTGGAAAGGCTCTTAACTAAACCATTATTTTGCATAACTTTCAAATTTGAGAAATAGCAGAGACACAGTATCACTCAACTGGATAATACTCTTGGGGCACCTAAATTTCCTGCTCTTTTTTCAAATTTGTATGTGTGTATATGTGTTGTGACAGAGACAAAGAAACAGAGGGAGAAGACAGAGACAGGCAGCAGAAGTGAAGTGTGGGAAGGAGGCAGCAGAATGGGGCCACCCAGAGGCCTTTTCAAGCTACTAATGCCAGTCCCCTCCCCACCCACCCAACCTTAATCTACTAAATTAGAGACTGACCAACCAGATCAAGGCAGTACCACTGGGAACCTGCAAGGAAGCCTGTATTATCACTGGAAATACAACCAAACCCAGATTATTTAACCAGAATTCTTGACAGGTGAAAAGGTTATAAGGAATACTTTACTTGGAGTGTTTGCTTGGTGGGGGAGTGGCAGCAAGGTAGAGGGGTAAGAGTGAGAGTGGAGATGAAAGGCAAAAAGACACCTATGGAAGGTGCAGAAATAACAACAGCTACAGGACAAAGTGTTTCATTATTTGGCTGGGTGACTGGTGTATACTTGTGTTCCTAAGTTTGGGAACTTTTAGTCGGTAAACTGAGATAAAGCTATCATCAACTAACTTTATCTTTTAACTTCCCAGTTAGCAGTAACTCAAAGAAAAGGAAGAGGCACATTTTATTATCTCATTTTTAAATACTAATGTATTAGCCTGATCACAATATCAAATTTTGAGCTATCCAGAGATGCCCACATTGGTCAGTTTCTATCTAACTAGGGTTGTATTTTCCAGAAAGCTATCCAGATGATCTGCATTGAATTTTTCTCCACCAAAAGAAGACCCATTATATCAATACTTCCCAATTTTAAGGTTTAGACCAATTGTCTCGGGATTTGTTAAATCATTGTCTCATGATTCACAGCTCTGGGATCAAATATGGGATTCTGCATTTGTATCAAACTTCTTGGTGATGCCTGTGCTGCTTGTGCCTGCAGACAACACATTGAATATCAGCCTCCAGAATATCCAGTATTTGTCTGAACAGAGTAAAATAAACAGTCTTAAGTGTTTCCTCCTTTTACACACACTGTATTCCTAGCTTTAAGGCCTCTGATTCCCTCTCCTCTGAGCACACAGTGACCTAGAATTGTTGAAAAGAGATCGAAAATTAAAAGATCACAGTAGCCTAAGCTGCAAATCCTGCCTGGGAGCAACACCTTTTCTTTGAGGTTCATTTCGTTTCATCCTTTTGCCTCTCTGCCTTTAGGTATCAAAGCTTGAAAGAGAGAAGACTCAAGAAGCAAAGAGGATTCGTGAGCTGGAGCAGCGCAAGCACACGGTCCTGGTGACAGAACTCAAAGCCAAGCTCCATGAGGAGAAGATGAAGGAGCTGCAGGCTGTGCGGGAGAATCTCATCAAGCAACACGAGCAAGAAATGTCAAGGACAGTGAAGTTGCGGGATGGAGAGATCCAGAGGCTCAAGTCTGCTCTGTGTGCTCTCCGGGACGGCAGCAGTGACAAAGTAAGGACAGCGCTCACCATTGAGGCGCGGGAGGAGGCCCGGAAACTGTTTGATGCAGAGCGCCTTAAGCTCTTACAAGAAATTACAGACCTGAAAACAGCCAAGAAGCAGGTGGACGAGGCTCTGAGCAATATGATCCAAGCGGATAAAATCAAGGCTGGGGACCTTAGGAGTGAGCATCAGTCTCACCAAGAAGCCATCTCAAAGATCAAATGGGAGTCGGAGCGGGACATTCGGAGATTGGTTAGTAACTCCACCAGACCAGTGCAGAAACAGTCTCTTTCCAGGTTCAGAGCTCCATGGGATTTGCTCTTAGGATGTTTCCTTGTCAGTGGATTTATAAACAATGCCTTTGATTTGTTCAGTGCTCTATCCAAAATACAAGATACAGCAGTAGGTAGTTAGGTAGAAAGATAGATAGATATCTCAGGTCAAAATTGGAATTGCAAAATCTAAGAGATTTTGGAATCACCCTTCTCATAATAACAGGATTCTTTCAGGACCACACATGTGAAGAGTGTATATTCAGTAATTCCTGTTTTCATGGATACTTATAAAAGTACTATAAATTATGAAGGGTTCCATACTCAACATGCTTTTGTGGGATTTCCATTTATCAAATGTCAATGGGTATTTTACAGGACATAGGGGGTATTTACAATTTTCAAGATGTCTGAAAATGGCACCCACTGAGAACATCTCGAGTGATTCACCAGTCTTTTTTTTCAGGAGCCATGTCTGAAAGCAGAGCACAGAGCTATTAAAATCCCTAATTATTTTTAAAATAGATCTTTTCCCCAAAAATAAACAAGGAGCATTCAGAACAGAAGCCATTGTAATTTTCTAGTTGGATGTTATTCTTAAATAACTTGTTTTGCTAGTTGTAATTTTCAAGACCCCTGCAGCATAGGGTCTTTCATTTTAACATTTATAACAAAAAACCACATTAGACTCTTATCATGCTCAAAAATAAAACAAATGTAACTATATCTAAATCTATATTGTCTTAAGTTGACCTTGTCCAATTATTTTAGAAGAAGCATTTATATTCTCAGAAGTTTAGCATTAGCTAGATCTTAGTTATATCTTACTGAATTAACCATCACCTATTAGAATGTACTTTATGCCACCCTAACTATAGTACTTTCACATAGAAAAAAACTTTATTTTTACTCTTATGTCTGCCAATCCTGTAATTATTTTCATAGAATTCCATTTACATTCTTTGGATGATCTCTCTAAAATTTCATTTTTAAGTTAAAACTGGTTACCATAGAACATTTTTAAAAGCTCAACATGTGTAAATTTCTCTGTACTATAATCCAGTGTGGCTGTAAAATGCTGCCTCTGCCAGATTTTCTGGATTTTTATCTGCAATTTATTATCCTCTGTTATTTGACATAATGACCAAACATGGTGCAGAAATCTTGGTCTCTGCCCTGCCTTTAGTTGTTGAAACAACATGCCTGGTGAAAGTAAACTCTGGAGTTGGCAGGTAAGTAACTGAAAGGGAAGTTTTGCATTAAATACTTTTGTTTATTAATGCCTTCCAGCATAAATCTATGAGTATATGCACTTGTCGATGAGCAAATATTTTCCATGACTTCCTTTCACTAGCACATTGATAAAGCAGTCTCAAAATCCCTCTCAATAACAATGTAAAACTAAACCATCTGAGCAGTTGTTCAAAAATTGGGTTCAGGACTGGGGGACACAGTCCCCCAGTACTTCCAAAAGAAAAATTGGGTGTGAGCAGAATAAAATGGGAAAATGTTTAAAAAGTACACGTGCACTTGTCTTGACTTTTCCCTTTTTCTCACCTATCTTTACCTGCCACCCAGATCTACTTTTGAAACTAAGAGAGAGAAAGAAGTGGGAGCTATTCTGTTTAGGAAATTTCTCAAAGAATACCCTTTCCCTTCTAAGAAATAGAGCTTTGGTTGATTTTCATTATTCTGAGGTCAGAGTCCATGCTGATCACCACTATATGATAGAGTCTCATCAACACTATTTACTAGATTCCACAGGGAACCACTTTGGGAGATACTGGGAGACTATGGATAATCTGGAGCCAGTATAGCATAGTGCCTAACAGAATGGACTATAGAATCAGAAGACTGAATTAAAAATCAATCTTCATCATTCACAAGCCAAGTGACTAAAACCAAGTTGTTTAACATTTCAGGTTCTCAGTCATCATCAGCAAAATGATGATAATAGAACTTTCTCAAAAGGATTATTATTATTGTATTTTTTGGTAGGACTAGAGTTTGAACTCAAAGCTTCACTCTTGCAAAGTAGGTACTTTATAGATTGAGCCACACCTCCAATTCATTTTCCTATGGTTATTTTGGAACAGGCATCTCAAGAACTATATGCCCAGGCTGGCCTCAAACTGCCATCCTCCTAATCTCAGCCTCTCAAGTAAGTAGGTTTACAGACATGAGCCACAAGTACCTGGCCTGAATAGATTATCGTAAAATGAAATAAGGTATGTAATGATCTTAATACAGTGCTTCCGATATGGTCAAAGACTGGTAATTTCCGTTCTGATGGTGGTGATGGTGAGGACGACTGTAAGGTGGTAATGGAAATGCTTTCCTAGCAAGTTTGATAGGTAGTATGCCTCTGAACCAACCAGAAGCGTGCAGATTGGGAGTTATATTAAACTGTAAATAACACTGGACATGTCAAGTCTGACAAATGAATGCGTTACTCGGCCCTGGACTCAAAACCTCTACAAGGAGTTAGAAGCTACAGATGCTACTTTTCTCACAAATTATCATAATCTCATCAAATTATCAGACGTTCCTACTGGACCCTGAAGACGTTAGCCTAATGCCTTCCCAGAGTTGACCTAAAATTTAATCATGTGACTTGCAGTGAATATCTCAGGAATTGATATGTGGAAAATACGTGACTGTATAACCTAATTTAATTCCCAAATGCTTTTCTTTTTTTCTCCTGGTCTAAAGGCCACTCCAAAGCTTTATACAAAAGTGATTTGTTAAAAATGAGATTCTCTTAGAAAGAAAATAAACAGCATAAGATTTGTGCTAAATGTCTTTCCTTACCTCTGTTGTGAATATTCACATAGAATATAATGAACTGAGAACAAAGGTTTCATCAAATGGCTATGCATTCTTCAAAAAGTATTTATAGATGGCTGAGTGTTGGTAGCTCATGCTTATAATCCTAGCTACTGGGGAGGATGAGATGGAGAGGATTGCAGTTTGAGGTCAACTGGGGGCAAATAATTTGTGAGACTCCCATCTCCAAAACAACCAGAACAAAATGGACTAGAGGTATGGTTCAAGTTGTAGAGCACCTGCTTTGCCAAGCTCAAAGTCCTGAGTTCAAACCTCAGTTCCACCAAAAAAAAAAAAGTGTTTACAGATGTTAATTTCATTACCTATCATCCAGTGACAGCAAAAAATTTCCCATGGAAACTCTGATCAATTGTATGCAATACCTGTGTCCTTTAGTTGAGAAGTACTTTTCAGGTCATGCCCAGTCTTAGAACAAGTGTTGGGAGATAGATCAATAGATAGATAGATAGATTGATTGATTGATAGATATCCCACAGATGTAGGAGGAGAAATGGTGTCTAATATTGTCAGGTATTTTCTGTCCCTGTTCTAGTTCCAACCCATGGTGTTCTGACAGTAATGGTGAAATGGTTGCTAAGAACTGGCTGATCTGAAATATGGATAGGAATGAAAAGAAGCATAGGCCATGAAACACTGTAAGGACCTTCCTCTAAATTCACCACCTACATGAGAGCATCTTAGTCTTGGAAAATAATTAGGGTACTAAAACATTTGCAGTTACTTTAGTTTTGGTTGATCAGCTAATCATAGCAACTGCTATTTGGTATAAACTCAGATGCTCATTCCTCCAAAAAAGAGGTAACATTTAAAAGAGTATTGTCCTGGGAAACATTGTTGTGGGGTATTGGGTATCCATCTTTATTAACACACGTGACCCATTTTTAAAATTAGCCTTTTCTAATCAACCGAGACCATTTCAAACAATATCTGAAATGAAAATATCTATCTAGGATAAACTTGAGAGAAAAAAAATTTCTCTCTTTACTACCTACTTAACCTAGGATAGCCCTTTATTACACAGTGTTGTCCCATCAAATTCATGTGTTCAATACATTTGTCATGTTCATGAATTTTTTCCTGTATCAATCAGAAAAAAGTTAAACTCATACCCTTGCAAAAATGCATTTCTTTACAGCATTGTTAAATAAAATTCCCTGGATCTCATTTAATTCAGATGGATGAAATCAAAGCCAAGGACAGGATCATTTTTTCCCTGGAAAAGGAACTGGAGACCCAGACAGGCTATGTACAGAAACTCCAACTGCAGAAGGAGGCATTGGATGAGCAACTCTTCCTGGTCAAGGAGGCTGAGTGTAATATGAGCAGTCCGAAGCGAGAAATCCCAGGAAGGGCAGGAGACGGCTCTGAACACTGCAGCAGCCCTGTGAGTTCATGAAGTTGAGGTTAAAAACTTTAGAGTCATCTTTTATTTAGCTCCCAAGTTTAACTTTTCACTTAAGAGCTTTTCCTGTTTACTACGAAGAAATCAATTCTACATCTTATATAAAACCAGCTAATGTCTTGGGAACAAGGTTTTCTAAACTCATAGACAACAGAGTCTCAGTACATCAGCAGATTGCATGAGAATTGCAGGCTTCTTTAAATCCTTCATAGAATTTTCCTAACCAAGAAATACCTACTCAAACTTAAGTCTATTATAAGAATCATAACTTAAATGAAAATATTTTGCCTCTTGCCAAGACTGACAATTTTCCCTGTGCAAACAATTGACTTAGAAATTGGTATAGACAGTTACCATCTACAAAGGTTGAAATGTATACCTGTATAAAAGGCTAAACCATGTGTCATCATAGCAGGAAAACTTCTAATCTGATTGAACTTTCCATTTATTTCTCTGGATGTTCAGTATTTTATATGAGAAATGATTTGCAGAAGCACAGCAAAGAGATGTCAGTTTGTATATAGTTGGCTAGTGTATCCTTTACCTTTCAAATTATTTAGCTGCTAAAAAGGTGAAAATGTATTATTTAGGAACAGAGATGAGTTCCAAAGTAGTACTTAGAAAAAGTAATGAATAATTTATGAGTTGGTTTCCAAGCTATGTGTATCCTAGTAGGTGGCAGGAAGCATACTGATCCAGGATGAAACAGATATAATTTTCAGTTCTATCGCTGACACCTATCTACAGTGCAGCATACATGACCAGAGAATGGGCTGTGTCAGATCCTTCGCTTCAAATTCTGGATCCGTCCTTAACTGAGTGGCCCATTGAAGTGGCTACCCACTTCACTGCTCACAAGTACTCTGTAAGTCTGGCCTAAAGACCAAAAGATATGACATATAAAATGATAAACACAGTATCTGGCAAGCAGCTAACATTCAGTACATTAGTTTTTTGATCTACTGACATTAGCCACAAGACCCCTGAGATTAATTATGACTTCCCTGAATTTTACCTGAAGGACTCTGCTCAATCTGTTAGGTACTGGGACTCTAGGATATGATGTCTGTCAACAGTATCTAGGGCTGGGGGCATGGCTCAATAGGTAGACTGCCTGCCTAGAAAGTGCAAGACCCTGAGTTTAAACCCAAGTACTACCAAAAAGAGAGAGAGAGAGAGAGAGAAGAAAACATTATCAAAAGGAAAAATGATGATAGAATTTGATTATGGTGTATAAGAAGATTCATAGCAATTCTGCCAGCAGAAAAAGCAATTACGCTTTATACAACCCTATAAACTACTTACTACCTTTTAACATTAAGGCAATGTATCTTTCCTCACATTAACCTTTTTATCCAGAAGTGTGCAGAAATTTACAAAGCCCCACCCCTACCTCCTAATCCACCCTCTCTGTGAATGTGTGTAATAGCAGTACAGCTGTCCAGGCTGAAGGAAGCAATGTGCACGTGACATAAGAATGCTCCTTGAACCTCATGTAAGCATAACAGGACCTTGGTCTCGCTGAACATCGCTCTGATAAGCTGATCCAATCTTCTGCCATTCCCTCTGTCATGGGTCTGGGCTTCAGGGAGTATCTGCCACATAGAATTCATTTGCATTTTTAACAAGGCTTGGTTAAAAGTGATGAATATTGGTAGTTAGAAAAGGATAAATACTTACTCCTCTCTGAATGAAAGAACACTTTACTGTCACTTTTGAGCCATATGAGGAGAAATGAGCCTATTACTTTTGTGCGTGTTATCCCAAATCTTTATGAAAGTATATCATTGAAGAAATACCCATTTTAATTTTCATATATAGGATTTGCGAAGAAATCAAAAGAGAATAGCTGAATTGAATGCCACTATAAGAAAATTAGAAGACAGGAACACTTTGCTTGGAGATGAACGAAATGAACTGGTGAGTTGCACACAAGGTTTTTATTTTACTTTTGCTGTTAAGCGTTATGTTATGCAAGCACACGTTATGTTAGAGAAGGGTGGCATAAGAGGAAAGGGCACAAATACTAAAAGGACAGTTCAATAAATAGTCATAAAGTGTCAAAGCGACCTGACTAACACCCAGATGGATAAGTGGAAGATTACCAAAGTCTCAGAACCTCCTCCATCCTTCTAAAGGTGACCACTGTTCTGACTTCTATGACCATAAATGTATATCACTGTTTTAAAAAATTAAACAAAATCATACAATTTTCAATCTTTGTGCCTGGCTTCTTTTGCTCAGCATTGGTTGTGAAATTCATCCATTGTGTTGTATATACAGCTTGTTAAATTGACTTACTCTCTAGTATTCAGTTAATGTATCAAAACACATGTGTTCATTCCATTGTTAAGGGATACTTGTGTTGTTTCCTAGCACATTTAACTTGTTAAGAAGGGTTCGGCTACAAAAAAAAAAAAAGTGTCCATGTTTGCTGGAATATACAAAGGAGTAGAATTACCGGATGGCAGAATAAGCATGTGGTCAGCTTTGGTACTTATTAATTTCCTAAAGTTGTGACATTTACAACCCCACCAAGGATGTCTGAGGATTGCAGTTCCTCCACATCTTTGGCAACATGCAATGATAATTGTTAATTTTAGCCATTTTGGTGACCATGAGGTATATTCTTATTTTTATTATAATTTTAACATTTGTAATAAGGTTAGGTGACCTTTCAAATATCCACTGGCCTGTTGGATACCTAGGCTTGCACTCAGCCTTTTGTTCATTTGTTGCTCTGCTGCCTTTATTTTTCTTATTAATGTTAGGACTTCTTAAAATCCTTTGTGGGCTATTTTATTTAGGATATCTGCTCTGTGACTTACATTTTTAATGGGGTTGTTCATATAAAGGAGTTATTTCAGACTCTCCTTTTTAAAAATATATTCATTTTAGACCATACTAGGCCGGTGATTATAATGTGTCATAATGCATTTCTATTTCTTTTTTTTTTTTTCATTTTTCTTTTATTATTCATATGTGCATACAAGGCTTGGGTCATTTCTCCCCACTGCCCCCACCCCCTCCCTTACCACCCACT